AGGTCTCTCTCTCTCTCTCTCTCTCTCTATATATATATATATATATATATATATATATATATGGATTGCGGGATGAAATCCGGTACCAATAAATAACAAACGCCAAGATGGAATATAGGATAATAAATGTATTAATTTAATAATACAAACTGGTAATGCAGGTTAGTAGTTCCAGGAATACGGGTTAGTAGCAAAATATCTATACAGTCTTTGGTATCGACGTATCACTGTATGACTTCTTACTGAGTCTACGTGCTTGCTCACTGGGAATCTTGCTCCTTACGTTCGTTCTGGGTCGTGCTCGTTCGTCGCTCATTCCCGTTCTTCTCGTTCGCTCCCCGGGCAGTAGTATATGTATACCCTGGGTGCGTCCATTTGTGTAAAAAGGGGAGAACCCTTCAACAATTTATATCATCCTCGGTTTATCTGGTATCCAAGAATTAAATTTCTTCTTTGCAGTTCGCTTCATTTATGATGGTGGTGTTAATGATTACATTCACCGCTGGTTCAGGACTAGAATCTACCAGTTTCACCCAAAATCTGCTCCGTATAGCCATTTGACTTTACAAGTGTTGGTTGGGGGTGAAAGAACATCAGCGTAGAAGAAAGTTCCGATAGCGTGAATTTGTTTAAAGTGGACTTCAGCTTGTCAGGAGGGACCGACACACTTGATTTCATGACCTTCCCCAGTGGCAAATATGTAATATGTCATGAAGAAACCAGTTGTGAAGTTGCAATGGAATTCTACTGACTGGCACTTTCTTTAGCATGTCCGTCATGCTTAGCCCTCTTCATCCATTTGTTCAACATTTCAGTTCTGTTGCAATCATTATCCGCTTGTTCCACCGAAGTAGTTTCCGGGGTTGGCCACACTTAGTCTGGGTCCTCGTCTTCGACCTTACCGTCAAGTATGGACCTCCCAGGAATTTAGAACTCCAAACGTCATCGCACCAAACAAGACCGCCATCACTAAAACATATAAATAAATAATATAAACTAATTAAATCGCGTTATTTTTTCCCTACACACATCATTGACAGAGGGATGCTTCGTTGAACTTTTTCATGACTATTTCACTAAGACATATAGGCCCCGTACCCCAACAAGTAAACGTTATTCCGGAAGGTTAGCACTAGAACAGTCTACCTCAACGAGTTCAGTTCGACATTCCAAGAAGGCCGGAACGTACAACGGCCGAAACGTTGTGATAAATATAGTAACAGAGATAAGGATGATAGTCCGAGCAATGTAAATAGTGATTTCTAAGTATGTTCACGGTTTTGATTTATCTGTGTATATATATATATATATATATATATATATATATATATATATATATATATATCCAAGATTATATTATGTCTATTTTCATTTTAATTTCTCATATTCATTTAATTCTGCAATTAAATTGATTGACAAAGACGCCGTCGCTGTTTTTACACTTAACATTAGTGCAGAAGGATAGTCCAGGCGAGAAATATTCCGTTTACTTGAATCGACATCGAGACGTGACATTTCCTCATTTAAGTGGGGGTCTTACCAGAACACATATAAAAGTTAGCCGGACGTGATGGCTATACATTTTATCGGAAATCACCATTATCGTCCTCAAATCAATTCTGTGTCACTTGGGCCCGATGACAGTGCAATATCGTTCTGGAATGACCCATTGTTGATAGGTTATGCAGAGTATATTAATTGGTTGTATACCGTCGCTTTAATTTTTTTTATACATGCCAAAGATTCTTGTTGTATTAAAATAGGTTTAATTCTAATAATTTCTAAGTATCTGATATTTCTGAGATGAGGCATTATATACACTATTTACATTGCTAGACTATCATGCTCAGCTTTGTTGCAATATTTATCACAACATTTCGGCCATTGTACGGTCCGGCCTTCTTCAGGAGGTTGAACTGAACCCTTTACACATGGCACAGTGGATAAAGTCGTTAGTTAGATCCACTGACAGGGCCCAAAGAGAGTGAGTTCAATACCAGGTTAAGGCTGTGGAGAACATGGAGAGGGGAATTAACAGGAGATAACTGACATTAGACATGGCACATGGAACTAGAATAGTCTACCCCAACGAGTTCAGTTCGACATTCCAAGAAGGCCGGAACGTCAACGGGCGAAACGTTGTGATAAATATAGTAACAGAGATGAGGATAATAGCCCGAGCAATGTAAATAGTGATTTCTAAGTATGTTCACGGTTTTGATTGATCTGTGCACATATATATATATATATATATATATATATATATATATATATATCTAAGATTATATTATGTCTATTTTCATTTTAATTCTCTCATATTCATTTAATTCTGTAATTAAACTGATTGATTGACAAAGACGCCCTAGCTGTTTTTACACTTAACATTAGGGAGAGGCAGCTGAAATTTCGGGGACATGGAATGAGGAAAGAGGGCTTCGAAAATTTGATACTCACTAGACAGATTGATGGAAAGTGAACAGAGAAAAACAGCGCGTAACGTACTTGATTGGCTTGAGCAAATGAAAGGTAGAACGGTTTTTGGGAGAAATAACAAAAAAAAAAAATTATCAAGAGCTACAAAAACAGGAAGATGTGGCGACCATGATCGCTTAAGTCCTAAAGGGACACGACATATATAAAAAAAGATATACTCTGCGATAGGGGACATTGGGGACCCAATATTGTTGAACCCTATTTTGCTTTAGCAGTTACATCCTTTGCAGAAGATCAACTGTTATCCAGCACTCGTTTGGTACGCGTGTGATCTTTATTCTGCTGAGTTTTTTCCCATAAAGTGTAAATTTACAGCTTCTTCATCCTGGCCGCTGGCCGGCAATTTTTCTTCCACTCTTACGGAGTTTCGTGAGTGGGCCTATTGTTTGCATCTATTAACTACATTTCAATTAGTCTGGGGAAAATAAGAGCCCATTTCACACAAATCAGTTACTAAGCGATGGTGAAGATTGCATGTAAACGTATGAATCTATTAGCCGCAGTCGGACACTACTCAATGGAAATTTAATTATATATATATATATATATATTCATGAATTATTCACACAAAAACAAATGCAATGGTTAATGATTTAATTGGCGAGAAATCCATCGTCGCAAACAATTCAAATAATATACAAAAATATTCGAAGCCGTTATGAATGAAAAGATCCTTGTTTCTATAAATTTCTGCCGCATTAGTTCTTATTTTTACTACAAGCTTTCGTCTGTTCCTAAAGACATCTTCAGGTATGGAATAGTTGTTGTTCTGGTTTTTTCTCTCAGTAATAAGAGGACAACGAAAATATATGTATTGTTGTATCCGAAAATGCTATTGGAAATGAGTTATTGTTTTTGGAGCGTGCAGTAGCAATGCTGCGTTTGATTTTAAATTTTTTACAGTTGTGCGTTCATGTACAAATATGGTGATAAACGAATTTTTTACTGGTAAATTATATATATGTGCGTGTGTGTGCGTGCGTGATCAAATATATTAAATATAACACACAACGAATGTCTATTATGTTTTATCATGAGCCATGCCAGGCGTCGTATAATGGTTTAATTTCAAGAGAAAATAAAGACAAAAACTGTCTAACATTTGGATATTTGTTTATTATACTAGTCGTTGATCTAAGGTTTCAGCTATCCCTGAGCTATCATCAGAGTGGTTATATGGACATGACATTAGAGATGCGCAACCTCAATGATGATATCCTGTTTTTTTTACATAGAAGATTGCTATGCCAGAGTATAAATCTTGGTACCATTAATGAAGTCCTGAATGATCTTTTGCCTCCCAACATTGCTCAGTTGGGAAGTCATAGTGGGGCTGACACAAATCGATTTTAACCTGTTCTCTATCTAGCTGAATAACTCAAAGGGTTTTTCAGTGATTCCTACAAAATGGTGTCAAATGGTTAAACAGCTTATCTTAAAACCTGGAAAGAATCACAATTAGTTTAGTGGATATATTTTTTGTATATTAAACATTTTGTAAGGTCGACAATTATCCCATGCTGTTATACGGTTTGCAAAATGTTGATGTTATACCACGTGTATATATATATATATATATATATATATATATATATATATATATATATATATATATATATACTAGCATCATGGCCTGGCGTTGCCCGTGCTTGATTCAAACTTCGTACGACTCATACAACAGTCGCTATCACTTGACTTAAAATATTTTTGCCCTTCCTTGCCTTTTTATAGGAGTGCCCTTTGCTGTGCTGATGTTGCTACATGCCTTACTTCTTGCCTATCTCACACTGCGAATTTTTTCTAAGCTCTATACTAAACATTAAATCTGTTACGAAAAAAGAACTAAACAAAATGAACACAAAACGACCACCTTTAAAAAGGACTCGTAACTGGAAAACCGAATGAAAAAAAGAATGTTAACAACATATACTTTTTCACACCAAACCCAGTTCTGCGGAATCAGAATCAACGTTGAGTTTAAGTAAGCGAATGAGCCAATTGGAGTAAAGTGCCATGCAGATTTTAATTTTTCCCACTTGTGACGAATGCAGTTATCGATTTTTTTTACATGCTAGTAAACATTCGTATCAGTCAGCTCTTGGCTCTCACGCTGGCCAAGAGAATCTTCCTGCCTATTCGTGGCAGCCAGCTAGAGGCTCTCACTCAGACCAGTACAAAATAGCCTCAAACTACATGAAAACTGCCGTAGAAGGATGAAAAAATCGAGTATTTCCACTATCGATGGGAGTTGGGAAATGCAAAGTCGGTCTTGGCCTTCCTGCTAACTTGGAGCATGTGAATGTAAATTTTGGTGCAAATCCGTCGAAAATTGCGGCCGTGCATTCATTACACACATACACACGCACATCCTGTCATATATATATATATATATATATATATATATATATATATATATATATATATATATATATATATATATATATATATGTGTGTGTGTGTGTGTATATATATATATATATATATATATATATATATATATATATATATTAATAGATAGATAGATAGATAGATAGATAGCTAATCAGACAATATTCAGAACTCAGTCTACCTGAAATTTCATGAGAAGTCGTTATTGTTTCAAATGAAGCAGTGAATTATCAGATGTTTGGAATTTTTTGGCTGGGTTTTTCTCAAAGTTTCTCAGAATTAAAATCAGTAAAATAATTGATATGTTCAAAAATGGCTTGATGCTTTTTAGTCAATTTCATTTAACAAACACGTCGTTTTAACTCCATAGTAAATGCTACTAAATTAATAGTAGAAAGTGTTGTCGAGTTTCTTTGTTTTTAACACGAAAGTATTAGCAAAGAGAAACCTGCTTCATTTATATCATCATTAGTCCAATTGATTAGTTTTTATTTTTGACTCCTACCCAATCAATCAGTGCAAAGTAGCCGATAATTAAAACATATATTTCATCAGGCGAAAAATCTCATCATGCAATTTTAATATTAATTGTAATATTAGCCGCGTTCGTATGTGGAATCGTTCAGCATTCATTGATTGGACCGACATTGTGACTGTCGATTGACATTTATAAAATGTTTCTATTAAACCATTTTTCAGAAAAATAGGTTTCTCGTGAGCACGGAATTACGACCATACTACCTTGAAACAACGATTCACGTCCGATCACCAAAGTTAAGCAATGTTGATCCTTGTCTATACCTAGATGGGTGAACTGTAGAATACCAGATGCATGAACGTCTGGGTAAAGTAATGGATGGCGACTGGGAAATGAAAATTGGAGAGCAAGTCAATAGGCATAATAAAGACAGTTTAGTAAACAAAAATGGGGCGTCTATTTCAAATACGTAGTATCCACTATAATAAGTAAAGGATCTATAAAATAGATCCATTAATTCTCTCTCTCTCTCTCTCTCTCTCTATATATATATATATATATATATATATATATATAACGTACAGCTAGTTAGATCAGGGTAAGATACAAAGACAAGATGAAGAGCAACTTGTCAGGTGTGAATATACGTCATAACACCCTCTCTAACCACATAGAGCACTATAATATCTACACCTCCTGGCAAAATTTGGTAATTATTTATTTTCTTACCAGTGTTTGTACGCACACACGCGCGTATATGGCTACTACTATCTAGTCATTTCTTTTACCTAACTCTCTCTCTCTCTCTATATATATATATATACACACACACACACACACACACACACATATATATATATATATATATATATATATATATATATATATATATATATATGTGCAGACATAAAAACCACAAAAGCATAAGGATCCGGACATATTGCTGAACAAACATTACGAGTTGATTTCTAAATGCAGACATAAAAACCAAAACTCAATTTAACGAAGTATGTTTAGAAACAACTATTTAAAAAGGGAAAATGTTAAATTTGTTTTTGAAATGAATGTATGTATACATGGATTCTATACTTGTTGATATGTACGCAGATGCACATTTGTATGTGAATTTATTTATTTATATATATATATATGTATGAACGTTTTGGATAAGGGTGCTTATGTGGCTATATGTACTCTTTTAATTGTGGGCACATATGTATGGAGGTATGTGTGTATATGTATAGGTATATATATGTGTGACTATAAATATATAAGTATGGGGTATGTTTAATTACTAACGTTATTTTTGTGCTATGTATCATTGTATATATATGTGTGTATATATATATATATATATGTGTGTGTGTATTTTGCATATGTGTGGATGTATGTGTACAGGTGTGTGTTTGTGCATGTGTGTAGGTGTATGTGTTTGTATTTTGTGTGTATATGTACGGATATATATGTATATGTATACATGTATTTATATATGTGTGGTATTTTGAATATTAAATTACTTGTAATCTGTATATGTATGTAGATGTATATACCTTAAAATTAATATTTTTAATATATGTGTGAATAGATGTATAACATTGTAATATAAATGCATATGCATGTGTGGATAGTTATGGTTAGAATTATTTTTATATGTTTTTATATATATATATATAATCGTGTGTAGGTCGGTATTTATGTATTTATGTATGTGTGTGTTTGTATATATATATATATATGGATGTATATGTATATAAGGGTGTGCATATGTATATGAGTATACCTATATGTATATATAGATGGATAGATAATTAGATAGATAATTGATAAATACATTGATATATATATATATATATATATATATATATATATATATATATATATATATATATATATATATATGTGTGTGTGTGTGTGTCTATACGTGTATCGAATATTTTTAAATAGAAGTACTTGGGTCATTCTAATCGTATTTTAAAATTGCTCTTTTTAATATTTTGTATCACTTTCTCTTTTAATGTTCTATAATTAGAATTTTGAGAGTGTATTTTTATCTTCCTGAGGGAGTTTCATCTTAAAATTGATAATTTAAATTTAAATATACCACTCTTTAACTATTAATAGTAATAATAATATTAACGGAATTCCTTTAATAATGAGGCACTTCAGAAGTCACCTAAAGTTACACCTTAACTATAAAATCAAACTAAAATCTAAATAAATTTCAAACGTTAAAATATAGGTAATGATTATGAAATGTATGTATATATAATTTATGTTTGAATATGGATGAACATTTGTGTATATTGTTGCACGTGTGTCTATGTGTGGATTTTCACATGTAAATAGACGTATGTATATATGGATTTGCATGAATATGTTTGTGAGATATATATAAGAAGAAAAAAATCTTTAATATTACCCTCAAATATTATTAAATAATGAAACCTAAACCTTAATTAAGTTTACCCATATAATAATAAAGAAAAATTACATTCATAAATTAGATTTAAAGTCAAACTAATATAGATGTTATTGTTACCGAAATTTTTTTACAATATTTTGTAAGTACAATTGGTCGGGTGAATAAACTATTATAATTTTAAATATTTCTTTAATATGTTCTCGATAAATGTGCTAATAAAAATAGTATTAACTTATATTAAGTCACTAAACTATTTACTTAAAAAAATTAAATGTCTAAATTGATAACATTCATCATTTTTTAGACATCTAAATTTCTATCAAGCATTGGAATCTATCTTTTACATAATTTTGTTAAAACAAAATTACAGCCTCTTTCGATTCACTTCCCTCTCCCCCTCTCTCTTTGCCGTAACACTCATTTAGATATATCTGTATTACTGTCATCTCTCTCCTCTCTCCTTTCCATTTTTCCTTTTTTCCCCTCCCATTCCTATATATCATTTCCGTTAAGTTAACCATCTAAATAGGTCACGGTTCGGTCACTCTCCTACCCTAATATAAAGCATGCTTAGGAGAAATATGAAATTAACCCCTCCCTATACTCTACATTGTCTAGTTAACTACAACTATCACCCTCCCTGTTAAATTACAAAAATTACACTACCCATCAATTTCTAATCCCATTTTTTCCTTTCATTTCGTTGTTGGAAGTGTTACCTGATGATCCGGAGTCCTTTCAAAAGGATTTTGGTGAAATAAATTATTGTAATGGTACCTTAAAGTGGTCTGTTTTTTCATTAAATATTAGCTCTGTATTCACATTGAGCTCTCAGGATTTCATCCTCCTTGGAATTTCCCATTCGGTTTACCAAGTTCTTCGTAACTTTATATATATATATATATATATATATATATATATATATATATATATTCTAAAAATATATGTTTGCTTTAATTTCAAGTGAAAATAAAGACAAAAATTGTCCAACATTTGGATGTTTTCATTAAGTTTGTCCTAGATCTAACCTTTCCGCTCGCATGAGCCATCTTACGAGTGGTTATATTGACATTTTAACCAAGATATTCACCATCGGATTAATTAATTGGAAGCCATCTAAATTAATACACAGTAACCCAAATCAACAAAATTACATTTCACATCAGTCACAACACATTACATTACATCTAGACAAGTGATTCTGTTTTCTTTCGCGTGGTAGAACCGCATCTTGAACTCACGACCTGTGTGTGCTATTCCACGACCGTTATTGTCGCATAGCAATCTTCTACGTAAACATAACAAAATATCATCTTCGATGGTGAATACCATTGTTAAAATGCCACTCTGAAGATGGCTCATGTAAGTCGAAAGGTTAGTTCAAGGATAAACTTAATAAAAAATTTCAAATTTTGTAAAATTTTTGTTTTTATTTTTAGCCAAAATTAAAGATAATATATAAATATTAGTTGGCTCGTGATCAGACATAGTAGACATTCATTGTCTGTTATATTTGTTAACAATTAAATTCGAAGTTTTTAGCTTCAATTTTTGAAACATGTTTAGAAATGTGTAGTGAAAAAACATATTCTAAATCAGTTATTTATTTATATTATATATATATATATATATATATATATATTATACATACGTATATATATATATATATATATATATATATGTATCTATGTATCTGTGTGTATCTGTATGTTCAAGATCATTTTATTTCTCGGTCAGAAAGCACACTGACATTTCGGAAGATTTCGATTGTTTCTCATCATGTTCTCAAGGCCTTCTAATGTCTTATAAATATTTTATTCTAGTTACCCTCATTACCGACACTCGTACAATTACTGAACGTCGAGCATGGTTAGTACCTATATAGGTTTCGCTGAGCTTACCAGGTGCGATATACTTAGATGTGCGGGTGGTGTAATGGATAATTTCTCTGAACTGGAAATCGGAGAGCCGAGTTCCAATTCGTTATGTTTAATTCCGGGCAAATACCCTTTGCCGGACTTGTATAAGTAAAGCATTATTATCTCGAAATAATTTTTTTCACAATTTACAATAAATCAATCAAAACGCTTACTAAACATTCCTTTACTTCCAGTACTTATGAATAGTTCTTGGAAATATTCTGTAGTAAGTTTCAAGTAAATAAATTTGAAATAAACTTACTCTAAATATGGCTTTAGCCTATTCTTTCCTATTCTGCTTGACGGTAAAAAAGGCGTAACTTTCTTGAATTCACTCATACGAAAATCTATTCAGTCAATTC